TTGAACAGTACCTGGTACATAGTAAGTAGAACTGCTCCATAGGGTTTTCAGGGATCCTGGTGTGGTCCTGTAGGATAAGCATCAGGCTGCTGACCACAAGGTCAGTGGTTCAAACTCACTAGCTGCTCCTTGGAAACCCTATACAGGGTCACTGTGAGACAGAATGGACTCAACAGCACTCAACACCAGCCACCATCACCTAGGGTTTCTAACCTGTAATTTTTATAGTAGATTGCTAGGCCCCCCCCCCCCCCCCCAACACACACAGTGCCACAGTCTAGGTTTCAGCCTCGACCCTTTAGTTGGCCCCAGAGTGTGCTTCAGCTTTATACCAAACATTTGCTAAATGCTGCCGTCTCCTCCTGGTCTAGTCTCACTGCCTCAGGGGCTCCTTCACTAGGAATGCTGACCTTTGTCAGTTGTAAGTATGGCAAGTTAGAGGGAGTGTCATTTAAAAGCTCATGGAGAAATTCCATTCTTTTTTCATTCCATTCCCGTGGCCCACCCCAAACTTTTGGAAGCCCCTGGAATGTTTTCCCAGTCTGTTTGGAGGGGCGTGGGGATGTCTTAGCCCATTTAGGGGCTCTCTTGCCACCCAGTAGGGTGTGGTGACTGGCGGTCCAGTCTGTGAATGTGTTTTATGATTTGGGCCAGTCTGCCTAACTGAGGAAGGCTGGGTTGCATTTAGGCTGCAGACCCCCTGCTGGGGCACCTGCCCTGCTGGGTCTGTGAGAGTGTGGGTGCTGGGATCAGGACACTCTCTATGACCTTGTTTACCAGAATTCACCTTGGTGAACATACTGAGGTGGGTTGTCGAGATTCCCCCCCCTCACAAGGCAGTGGGGAGGGAGGGCTAGAACTAGAGACACCCTTGTGGCCCTTGCACTTCCCCCACGGCTGGGACTTTGTTTTTCCACTGGTGCCCAGTCCCCTCCCAGCAGCCCAAACCACTTCTGTAGGCGGTGACTCCGGTTTGAGTGCTGAGTCCTGATTTCCACATTCTCCTCGTGCAGCTGCGTTTCTGCTGTGTCATGGTTGGGAGGGGGGACTCGGAGACAAAGGGAAGGCAGATTCTGCTGAGTCACCAGCTGCAGCTCAGACCTCTGGGGCAATGGTGAAGGAACAGCATTAACTGTCGGCTGGAGGAAGTGAAACTTCTAGAAAACGGTAGACTTCACTTGTTGATCTCTAAATCTTTACGCATAGTTTGCAAAGCCCTGTCCCACACATCTCAAAATTACCCAAACCCAAATCAAGCCCATTGCCATAGAGTAGATTCCAACTCCCTGTGCCTCTCAAGAACATAGAGCCTCCACGGGGTCTCTTTAAGGAAGCCCACTGCCACATCTTTCTTCCTCAAAGAGGCTGGTGGGTTCAAATTGCTAACATTTTGGTTAGCAACAGAGATTTTAATTACTGCTCCACCTCGGCACCTTATCTGAAAATTAACACATGCTAAACAGAACCATTGAGTTTTCCCTAAAGCTTGCCCTTTCCAAAGTCATTTTCATTCTAGCAACCTGGTAATGCCTTTAAGTGGTCTATCCTAAACTCGGCTCTGTCCCAACACACATTCTAGCCTTCCGAACATCCTGATGGGGCCACCTTTAAAATACTTAAGTTCTAGGTCACTTTTGGAGTTCTGGTGTGACACTGTAGGATAAGCACTGGCTAGCTAACCACAAGGTTGGTGGTTTAAACCCACCAGTTGCTCCTTTGAAACCCCATGCAGGATTGAAACTGATTGACAGCACTTAACAACACAACAAGGACACTTTTTTTTTGTCATGAGAAAAGATTACTCCTCAGCAAAGGACATCATGCTGAGTAAAGCAGAGGGTTAGTGCAAAAGGAAAACCCTCAATGAGACAGATTGATATGGCAGCTTCAGTGATGGGCTCAAACACAACAAAGATTGTGACGTTGGCACAAATTATTATACCTAATAATAGCATAAAGGAGCTCTGGTAGCATAGTGATTACAAATCGGGCTGCGAACCTCAGGGTCAGCAGTTCGAAACTACCAGCTGTTCCGCGGGAAAAAGATGAGGCTTTCTACTCCCGTAAAGATTTACAGCCTCAGAAACCCTGTACAGGGTCGCTATGAGTCGGAACCGACTTCACAGCACATAACAACAACAACAACAATAATAGTACATATGATTTTGTTCTTGTTAAGTGCCACTGAGTTGGTTTCAACTCGTAGTGACCCTGTATAGGGTTTCTAAGGAGCGGCTGGTGGGTTCCAATGGTGGACCTTGAGGTTCAAATTGACCAATTAAACATATGATATAAATAATAATATGTATATCATATATTAGACATACACGAGAGCTTCAAAAAGTTCACAAAAAAATTCCATTATCGTCTAATTCCATTTTTCCACAAACTTTTTGAAGGCCCCTTGAATAGTTAAGACTGATTATACGTAAGGTCACTGTGAATCCTGTGAATGGACACTGACTCTATAGTAACTGACATCAAGTCCTAACTGCCATGGTCTCTCACCTGGATCAGGGCAGTAGGTAACCTTTTGCCCTTGTTCTTTCGTTTAGTTTCATTTTCAGCAAATATCAAACTTACTCCTGTGTTCCCAGCACCTAGACAGTGCCTGGTACACAGTAAATGCTCAATATCTATTTATTGATTATCATCATTACTTATTGTGTTTCTCAAATCCGGGTTCTAAGGCTGGGGGAGGCCCAGTTGGCAAGCTCACAGACAAGGCTTTTCTTCTTATGGTCTGCTTCTGTAAGGACGATACCCGTGAAAACACAAGGACAGTTCTACTTACGGGATTGCCGATTGCCGTGAGTCAGAATCAAGTCAAAGCCTGTAACACGTTTAGATACTTTTTTGGGGGTGGTACAAGTGGTTGAGATGTTTGACTGTTAATCTAACGGTTAACAGTTCTAGTCTACCTAGAGGTGCTCTGGAAAAGCTCTGACGGTCTACTTCTAAAACATCAGCCATTGAAAAATCCTATGGAACCCATGGGGTCACCAAGAATCAAATGGGTTCAATGGTAACTGGCTAACTGGCACTGGATTTGTTGCGTGTAAATAACTGATTCGCAGGTACTGCAGGGTAATCACAGGGAGCAAAACTAGGACTTTAGGTTCCTAAATGTTCCATCTCCAGTAGGGGCACAACCTCTGGGACCTGCTTCCACATGTAATAAGAAGGCTGAGATTAGAGGAGCTTGGACCTTTTGGGGACCTGAGATGCACAATGTCTGCACCTGCAGATGGGAATCTTTTGGATTTTAGCATTCTTGTTAATTGCGGGTTTATGTGGAGAACCTTGTCAATGTAGGCTCTGATTGTCATGTCCAGGATGATACTCTCTTCAAGGGCCAGTACTGTACGGTGGCCAGGAGCCTGGGCTCTGGTTTCTAAGTGTCATGGTTTGAATCCTGGTTTTGCCATCACTAGCGGTATGACTCAGTGTTTACAAGGACAAAATGGAGATGAAGATGACAGATGTAACCCCTTGCAGAGAGCTGTTGTCAGGACAGAATGAGATCTCCCACATAAAGGGTCTGCGTATAGTAAGTGCTTAATAAACGTCGGCTAGGACATCCTGGTATAGTGCTGTCGGATAAACACTGGACCACAAGGTCAGTTTAAGCCTCAAGGTCAGCAATTCAAACTCACTAGCCACTCTTTAGAAACCCTATATAGGATCAGTATGAGTCAGAACCGACTCGACAGCATTTAACAACTGAACATCAGGACCACAGCTGGTCATTGCAGTTTGGTTCCAGGCTTTTCCGATTTTCTGGCAACCTAGCAATATAATCGTTCTCCCCAGAAAGAGACCTTGTGGCTTCCATTCAGTCAGTCAGTCCAGATACTGTCCTAGGCTCCAGGGATTCACAAACAAAGCAGACATGGTCCCTCTCCTGGAGTCTCTTGCTGTTGTTAAGTGCCGTTGAGTCAGTTCCGACCCATAGCGACCCTGTATAGGGTTTCCGAAGAGCAGCTGGTGAGCTTGAACTGCTGCCGACCTTGTAGTTCAAATTGTCTGGTGCCTTAACCCACAGCGCCACATGCTTACTTACATTCTACAGAGGCCACTGGAGCCTAAAACTCCTCATTTCTATAAAGTCTTTGGCAGCTCTTCTTGAAATCCTGTAGCTACGGTTCTAGTTCTGATCTCTGGATCTTGAGAACCAGCTTGGCACAGCAAGCCTTTCCAAGACCCTCCCAGCTTAGTTTTGGGCTCTGTCTCTCTTGTAGAGTCCGGTTGGGACCCCAGTGAGGTGACTTCAGGACTCCAGTGGGAATAGCCATGTTCCTTTGGTTTCTTTCAGTCCTGCTGCATGCTGAGGTCTGAGTCCTCCTCCACTCCCACCCAACTCCAACCTTAATCTCCCACAATATTTGAAATCTTCCTGCCAAGACTTAAACCCCACTGTGCCTGGGTTTAAAACCGCAGCTTAACCCCTCCGCTTCCATTTCCTTTCCATTTTGGTGGCAGAAGCTCACAGAAGTGACCCTGAGAGAGGACTGGCCGTTTCCAAAACTTTAACCTTTGCCTGTATGGGTGGACTCTTGACCTCTATCTGCCAGGTTTTGGGATCAGTAGGTCTCTGATATTTGCCCATCATCTGGTCCTACTCTGAGAAAGCTGCTCCCAGCTCTGTAGAACCTTCGAGATTCCTGGGGTTTGGGTAAGGGGGAGGTTCTGGCAGGGGTAGAAGCCGGCCAGCAGCCTCTCAGAGATTTCCTTAAGGGTTTTTTTTTTTTTTTAAACACATCCTGTGGCTTTGTTTGCCAAAGGTCATATGACCGCCCCCTTCCCCTCCCCTTAGGCCTGGGCGGGAGGGGCGCTGGCCCGTGGATGTTGCAACGTGCGGCCCAAAAGTGGGATCAGCTGTTTGGGCCTCGGGCCACGTGACCCTCGGAGAGGATAAATGAGCGGGCGCGGTTCAGCAGGCTCAGTGAGTGACACGGCCGACTCCGAACTAGTCCCGAGCTATCCGAGACACCCGAGCGCCACCGGCCACATGGAGCGCCCACAGCCCGACAGGTAAGTGTCCGCCGCTGCTAGCTTCCTTCTCACTTCTGTGTCGCCTCGCTCTCGTGCCAGATCTGGGACCCCCAGGGAGCTCAAAGCGACTAAGCTAAGAGGTGCTAAAAGTTTGGGCTTTGGAGCCAGGCGGAGCTGGGTTTGAATCCTGCGGGTGACGCTTCCTGCTTCTGCTGGTGAGATGGAGAGAGAGGAGAGCTACTGGGTGATTTACTCACCTGGCACCTGGCGGCGGGTTACTGTCTCATCATAGGACGTGCCCCTACGAAGAGTGGGTGTCCAGCTTTTGAGGTGTATGGGAGGGGCTGTGGGTGAGAAGTGCTTGGTTCTGTACATCTGGTGTTTTCAGTTAAACAAAGCAAAATAAAATAAAAAACTTAACCAGTTGCCATTGAGTAGATTCTGACTTCTGGCGACCCCAGATGTTGCCAAGTGGAACTTCTCTGAAGGCTGGTAGTCTCTTAGGGAACTCTTTTAGGGAAGCAAATTGCCAGACCTTTCTTCTGAAGCTGCACTGGGTGTTTGAACCACCAATCTTTAGGTTGTTGTTGTGTGCCGTGGAGTCGGTTCTGACTCATAGTGACCCTGTACAGGGTTTCCGAGGCTGTAAATCTTTCTGGCAGCAGAAAGCCGCCTCCTCGTTCTGCCCGTGGAACAGCTGGTAGTTTCGAACTGCTGACCCTGAGGTTCGCAGCCCAATTCCTAGCCACAACGCTACCAGAGCTCCTTAAGTGCAAATGGTTTGCTTATCTCAGGGACACCACACCTGTTGGGGTCCCTGCTTTTACAGTTCAGGGAGTCAGTGTGCTTGAGGGCCCCCAGCTAGCAAGTGGCAGACTTGGGATTTGAACCTGTGTCTTACCCTCTCCATCTCCAAGTCTCGTTCATTCCCTTCATGCAAGCTGACTTAACTCTTTACAGGGGATAATGCTGTTAGAGAGAATAGATATAATTCTAGTAATAGAAATAAATTCTCTGGAAGGGTAGATGTGGACATATGGCAAAACACACACACACACACACACACACACACAAAACACTAAAAAACCAACAAACTGTAATTTTACATCTAAGTCAGTCTTTTTTCCCAAATACTTGTATGTTGAGCATATTATGAGGGGTTGTGAGATTTGTATCTGAAACATCAACAAAAAATGGACTAAATATTGGGTTTAAAGGTCTATGAACACAATGAAAATGTTGAATATGAATATTCACACTGCCTCCTCTCTCTGAGTTGTCCTCACCCTCCTCCTCCGTTGAGAAAAACTGGTAACAGGTCTCCCACTGTGGACTGGGGACTATAGTTTATGGTTTGCAATTGTAAAGACTGGAGAGTGTTTTAAGTCTGCATGCTAAGGAGATCAGCAACGTACCTGTGTGTTAGATTGGATGGCTGGACTTATTTCTGCAGGTTCATCCTGATAGGAGATCCTAGGTGGTGCAGCTTGTGCCAACTTAAAGGCTGGTGATTCAAGTCTACCCAGAGGTGCGTCAGAAGAAAGGCCTGGCAACCTCCCTTTGTAAAATCAGCCATTGGAAATCTTACGGAGCACAGTTCTACTCTGACGCATATGGGTTGTCATGAGTCAGAATGGACTCAGCAGCACCTAGTTTACATTCTGATAAAGGCAGAGTCTGAGAGTGTACAGACAGGTGGGCGGAGAGACCTGCGCAGAGCCGCCCGCTTGTTTACCTCCCACCTTTCCCTCCACAGCATGCCCCAGGATTTGTCAGAGGCCCTGAAGGAGGCCACCAAGGAGGTGCACACCCAGGCAGAAAATGTAGAATTCATGAAGAACTTTCAGAAGGGCCAAGTGACCCGAGATGGCTTTAAGGTATGTGACCTTTGGGACCAACTCTGTGAAGGGTGAGGCCCAAGGCTCAGGTCTCAGGCTTAAGTGGGAACTGGGGCCAGTGATGCTAAGGGACCAGATGGGCTTGTCTGAGGGAATCATTTTATAGATGTTGACACTGAGGATCAGAGAGGTAAGGTGACTTACCTGAGGTCACACAGTAAATTCATAGGTTGCAGTGCTTGCTGTGGAGGGGCTGAGGCAGGTGTGCCATCCACTGAGCACCTATTCTGTGCTGGCCATTTTTCACATATGGTTTCTAAGTTATGCCTCAACCCCTGATGAAGAAGCTGAAGAAGAGAAGGCTCAGAGAGATCAAGTAACTAGTAGGAGGTCACACAGCTAGTAAGTAAATAGAAAAGGCTGAAATCATTTCAGGGCTTACACTCCTGGTCTAGTTCTAAATTGTCTCCAGAGTAGAGGGTTCTGGGCTCTGAGTTCCAACAGCGACACTGTGAGTACACACCCCCGGAACCCATCACAGAGGGGGACACCTTTCCCTCTCGATGAAATGGAACTTCAACAGCAGAACTTTTTTTGTTGTTGTTATTTAAAAAAATTTTTTGGGAAGATTTACAGAACAGATCATCCGTTTCAGCAGGGCTTTCTTCAGCACTGGCTTGGTGCTAGGCACTGACATCTGCTATGAATGTTCATTGAAAGTGCACTTGGCCCAGAACTAGACAGGTCTGGGTGTTAAAGCATCAGTGTGGCCAAAGCCTCGTTCCAGCTGAATAGAGAGTGTGGCGGTTGGAGAAATGTTTCCCTCTGCACATGATGGCACCCCCTTTTGCAGCCTGAATGCTCCCCACAGGAAGATGACTTACTCATGTAGCGAGTTGCAGTCATGTGTCTTGGTGGGTGGAGGGAGCAGCCACTGGTGTATCCTGTCCCCAGAGACTCTAGACTTTGGGTCTTACTTCTCAGGTACCAAGTTCATTCAGGGAACCTGCATCTGTTAGGGAACCTTGTACCTGAGCACAGGGTCCTCATAGTATGCTGATGGAGGTGGCATTTATGACTGTCTCTCTGGTGTGAGTGCCCGGCTGTGCTCAGTGCTTATCTGTGTCATCTTGCTGGGCCTTACAGCAGCCCCGTTCAGTTCTGATCATGCCCCTTTGCATGGGAGAGAGGACCAAGGTGTGACTTGTACAGACCTCAGAGCATCTTAGGTGCTTCAAGGCAGGGAATCTGAGACCCAGAAATGGCAAGTGGTTCACCTATAGTCACACAGCTGAGGACTGGCTGAGCTGAGGTTAGAACCAGATCTGCCAGACTCAAAAGCCAAGGCTGCTTGGCTCTCTGCCCTTTCAAGACACTAGGCTGTCATAAATGTTTATGACTCAGAAATAGCTTAAAAATCTCATCCAAAACGCTGTGACTTTTTCCTCCCTCAAACTAAGACTAGCACTATTAATGTGTAACATGAGTGTTCCCTGAGCCACGGTGAGACAGGGCATGCTCCCCCAGCCCAGAGTCCAGAGGTGGCTGGGTTCAGAGTGCACCTTTTGAAAGAATTTCACCCTACAGATGGTCAACCAGCGCTCAAGAGGCGCCTAGATTACCGCCTCCAGGACAGTGCTAGGTCCCTAGCAACTTCAGTTCCTTTTGAGCTATGCCACCTCAAAGTCTCAGAACCTCTCAGACCTTAGTTTCTATCTGTAAGATAGAAACAGCGATTCCACTGTGGGGTTTTATCTGGATGAAGTCAGGCTTCATGTTTACCCATTAGGCTGAGAAAGGGGCCCATGGGGTCTTTCTCTGGGGACAGCTCTCTGGCTATTGTGTGAGAGGGCTGAAGGGACCCAGCATGGGTCAGGGGGTTAAGGTAACGGATTGGCTGTGTAGCTTCACCTGGAGGGTGGCCTGATGATCTCCTGCTCTGGTTTCAGCTGGTCATGGCCTCCCTGTACCACATCTACGTGGCCCTGGAGGAGGAGATCGAGCGGAACAAGGAGAACCCTGTCTACACACCCCTTTACTTCCCGGAGGAGTTGCACCGCAGGGCCGCCTTGGAGCAGGACATGGCCTTCTGGTACGGGCCTCACTGGCAGGAGACCATCCCCTACACAGCAGCCACTCGGAGCTACACGAGGCGGCTCCACACCGTGGGGCGCACAGAGCCCGAGCTCCTGGTGGCCCACGCCTACACCCGCTACCTTGGTGACCTGTCTGGGGGCCAGGTCCTCAAGAAGATTGCCCAGAAGGCCCTGGACCTACCCAGCTCCGGCGAGGGTCTGTCCTTCTTCACCTTCCCTAACATCGCCAGTGCCACCAAATTTAAGCAGCTCTACCGTGCCCGCATGAACACACTAGAGATGACCCCCGAGGTCAGGCGGAGGGTCATAGAAGAGGCCAAGACTGCCTTCCTGCTCAACATTCAGGTGAGGATCAGCAGCCCAGGGCGGCCACCACCTCCCCCAGCCCTAGCCACCACTCAGAGGGCTACTTCACTTGTTGTGGGGGAGGTGCTGTGTGGTCCTGTTAAATGCAGGCACTCTGGATCCAGGGTTCTAGTCTGCCACTTACTAGCTGGGTGATTTAGGGCAAGTCCTTTAAACTCTCTGTACCTCAGTTTCTTCATCTGTAAAATAGGAATAATAATGTTGCTGTGTGCCAGTGAGCCCATTCTGACTCGGTGACCCCTGTGTCAGTGTGGAATGGCTCCTTAGGATTTCCTAGGCGTAATCTTTATGGGTGCAAATCATCTGGTCTTTTATCCCGTGGAAAGCTTTTAGATTAACAGCCCAGTGCTTGACCATGGAGTCCCCAGGACTCCTAGTAATGGTAATAGTACCGACCTTTCAGAGTTGTTGGTGAGAATTGTGTTTATACCGGTAAAATCTCTATAGCAGTGACTTGCATAGCATAAACTTTATCCTGGCTACAGTGGAGTCCTGGTGTGGTGCTATATGTAGGGTAAGCACTGGACTACTAACTCTAAGGTTGGTGACTCAAACCCACCTGCCACTTCCAGGAAACCCAGGCAGGCTTGCTATGTGTCAGAACTGACTCGACAGCACTTAACAGTAACAACTACCTCATTGTTCTGGGGTTTGAGAATCATAATTATATTTCTCTATGACACACGTACTGGGAGTGGAAAAAAATAATGTTGCCATCAAGTTGAGTCCAACTCATAGCGGCCGTGTGCGTGTCAGAGTGGAACTGGGGCTGAGCTTTCACAAGTAGATTGCCAGAGCTTTCTTCTGGGGTACGTCTGGGTGTCTCAGACTTAAACGGCCCACCCTGCAGTTAGCAGTGGAGTGCATACACCAGAGACTTCACACAGAACCTGTGGCTGTTAAGTTGATTCCAGTTGATGATGACTATAAGGAGCTCTGGTAGTGTAGTGGTTACGAATCGGGCTGAAAACCTCAAGGTCGGCAGTTTGAAACTACCAGCTGTTGCGCAGGAGAAAGATGAGGCTTTCTGCTCCCGTAAAATTTTGCAGCCTCGGAAACCCTGTGCAGGGTCACTATGAGTCGGAACCGACTCCACAGTCCTTAACAACAACCACACAGGACAGAGTAGACCGGCCCCGTAGGGTTTCCAGGGCTAGGAATTTCCACATGAGACTGCCACCCACATCTTTTTTTTCGTGAAACAGATGTTAGGTTGAGAATGCCAAGCTTTCGGTTGACAGCTGAATGCTTCAACACTGTGTACCACATATAAATCATGTATGGGCTTGTATGTAGCCATGTGGGTACTGCAGGAATTCCTGGTGCTGGCCTCTGCTCACTGGGGACTCTCAGCCTAGCCAGTACACCTTTCTATGATACATCAATCCAGGGAGAAGGTGGGCTTAGACCAGCCCTTGAAGGATGAGTTATTGGGCAGAAGCTATAGGGTGGGGTCCCTTGTAACCCAGAGATGCTAGAATAATGTCACTTTCACCTTTCACACTTCCTGATCACTTGGATCCCTGAAGAGATTGGTCCTCGTGCCCATTAGGGAAGAGTTGACTCTCCCCTGAAATCCAATCAGTCCCGCAGAGAATCTGTGTCTTCTAGAAAGGGAGCAGAATGCTATCTGATGGCTGCCTTTGAATATGACATACAGTTTGTCTGGGACAAAGCACTTGGCCTCCGGGAGCTGCAGTTTCTCCTCTGGGAACCGAGGCTGATATAAACATCATTAAACTCACCTCTCCCAGGATGAATGTCACAAATACTACGAAGCCAATGTAGAAAGCGGGGGTGGGGGTGCAGAACACAGATGCTTGGATAAAACCGTTTGCTGTGGGATCGATTCCAACTCAGGGATGCCTGTGTGTATCAAAGTAGAACTGTGTTCCATGGGGTTTTCAGTGGTCATGACCTTTTGGAAGTAGATCTCCAGGCATCCTGAGACGTTAGTGGATCGACACGTATCAGGACATCAGATGTGGCCATGAACGGTTACAGTGAATTCTAAATTCACTTGTAACATTTTACCCTTATTCTAAATTCTAAGTTCATTTTTAACATGTTGTCTCTTATTCTAAATTCACTTGTAACATTTTCCTCAGTAAAGGTATATGACTGTCAATATATATGTATAACAGTAATATTTTATAACAGAGCCTGGGGCTCCCCACCACCTCTTACTGATTAGGGCGTGTTGGCTTCTGTCTTTTAGCTGTTTGAGGAGTTACAGTCGTTGCTGACCCAGGACACCGAGGGCTGGGACCAGAGCCCCCCTGCCGCTGCACCAGGGCTCCGCAGGCGAGAAGACAGCAAGGTGCAAGGTAAGGGCCTCGAGGAAGGGCATTTCCACTGGGCTCCTGGTGGACAGGGACGTACCCAATGTCTGCCCTTACCATCTTCTGAAGCTTGTGTCAGATTGGAAGCGAAATACAGGTGAAAGAGTGTCGGGAGTCTTGCGTGATGTCCCCCGCCCCCTTTTAACATAGGCACTCTGCCATGGGGTGAGGACTCAGGGATCTCTTACCTGTTAACCTGCAATGGGTCAGTGGTCCCTTGTCTTGTTAGGGCCTCTCTCCTAGGCCTCTTAGCTTTTGAAGCTGTTTCTATGCTGAGAGCATATCTGGGAATTTTGGGAAAGACTAAATGTACCCCTGCCGTGTCTCTGTGACAGGACGTGTGGCTAGGACAGTACACTGCCTCATGTCCAGCTCACATGGACCCCTCTGATGGGAAATTGTCCCTGAGAGGGTTAGAATGCAGTCACTCCTGATGAGACTGGCTACCTGGGGGGTGAGGAGACCCCACCCTAATGCAATAGTTCTCGAAGTATATGTGGTCCAAGTGCTCCCAGAGGTCCTCAAGGTCAAAGTTAGTTTTGTAACAATACTAGTACGTTGTGTGTGTGTCAGACGTCCGGGGCCCACCTGCAGGCCTGTGTAGTCCATGACCATGAGTTCCAAACTGAGGGAAGCTGGTGATTTCTATTGGAGCCAACCTTTAACCCCAGTGCTCTGGCTTTCGAGGCTACCCCTTACTTTTTCCCACTTAAGACCCAGAGAGCATTCGCTTGTGCATGAGGGGCGGTAGTAGAGGGTTGGTCTACCCAAGTGGCAGGGCTGGCTCTGACCCACAGTGGGTAGGTGATTGGGAACAGGACGAAGACGGAATCTGAATTTTGACCCCCGAGGGCTCCCCTTGTAGCACCTGCTCCACATAGGCCCTGCCCATAACTGCTGTGTGTGGCCATGCCCTTATGGGAGATAGCAGTCTGAAAACATGCCATCCCCCTGCCCTCCCTCCGTTCTCCCACCCCGAACATTCACTCTATGGTCTGACTGCAGTTGGAATCGTAGCTTCCCATCTCTGGAGGTATTCAAGCAGTGACGAGTGGGCCACTCTTTGGTGCCTTAGCAGTGGGCAGGGATAGTACCAGAGACCGCTGAGACCTCTCATCAGACATCTTCATCCCATCAGCTGTTGTTGACAGATCTCCCTTTTCCCTTTCAGGGTCCATTCCCACCCAGATGCCCAGCGAGAAGCCCAAGCAAAACATCTTCTCCCGGGGTCCACTTGTCCGATGGCTCCTGACTCTCAGTTTTCTGGTCACCACGGTGGCTGTAGGGTTGTACGCCATGTGAATGCAGATACACCGTCTGCTGAGCCCTTGAACTCTGTCCTGATGGGGACCACCAATCGCCTGCCTGGCCTTTACCCTGGGTGTGGGGGTCGCTCTGGGGCCCCTGCCCTCCCTCTGGGGCCCTCTCTATATCTACAAAAGAGGAAGGAATTTGGAGGTATCTTCTTCACCCACAAACACATCCAGCTGGTGACCGGAACCTCCAGAGTGGGCGGGCCCACATCCCTGTTCCTGCAGCAGAGCTGGGACATGCCACGTCCTGACCCTCCAAACGCTGACACAGCCGTGACCGCTTTCCCTTTAGGCCATGCTGATTTTTATATAAACATGTGAAGATGTTGTGTCTTGTCTTTGTCTTGTTTTGGTTGGAGCCACTTTTTGTTCCTGGCTCTTCACCTCAACTGCGGTATCTCTTTGTGTTCCGTTGTGTTTTTATAGCACGGGTTTGGGGGGGGGGAGGGAGGTGTTTAACACCACTGTGGCCTTGGTCTCTAACTTGTATGTGAATCAATAAACCACACTGCCTCCTAGACCTGAAGTGTTTTTCTTGGACTCTGTGGGCAGCTGACATTCTCCTCACGTGTTTCTGAAATGCCTGGTGGTGGTAGGAGCTGGTTTCCTGTGTTCTGAGGATGTGGTGGTGGTACAGGGGCAGGGGGGTGGAGGTGGGGGGGTAATAGGCCTTTGTGGTGAAGCGTGTTGAAGTCTCCTTGGAACAAGGTTTGTCTTCATTGAGAATTGTTGCTAAGTGTTGTCCAGTGGATTCTGCCCCATAGCTACCTTGTATAGGGTTTCTGAGGAGCAGCTGGTGAACCACGAACCTTATAATTCAAACAGCTTTGCAGTTTTGGCGTATTGACCCACAACGCCTCACCAGGACTCCTTACTGAGTGGGGCTGCCCTATTAGGTGGAGGTGGTCAGATTTTGACATAAGACTTAGAAGTTCTGTTCACTGGAGAGAGGTCCTAGTTTCAAATCCTTGCTACTCCACTCTAGCTCCAATCTGAGGTCAGTTCTTCAGTGTTACCATCTATGACAGGAATTCAGTAATCGCTACCTCATTAGCTCCTCACCCTATAACATGAGTCTCTGCAGTGAAAGGGGTGGGGTTCCTTCCTGTGTATGTCACCTCACAACTGAACCCTCAGCAAATTGCAAAGCAAACCTGTGAGGAGCTCTTACTACTACCTGACCAGCATTAAGGTGTCACTAGTGAATCCTGGTGTGGCTCTGTGGGATAATGCACTGGACCTTGTTCTGAACCACACGGTCGGCAGTTCAAACTCACCTGCTCCTCGGAAACCCTACATAGGGTCTCTATGAGTCAGAGACAACTACAGTTGGTGAAACAGTTACCTGCCTGACTGCTAACCAACAGGCTGGAGGTTTGCGTCTACCCAGAGGGTCGCAGAAGAAAGACTTAAAAGATTACTTCTGAAAAATTGTTCATTGAAAACCCTGTGGAGCTCAGGTGTACTTGGACCCTTGTGGAGGGCACCACGAGTCAAATGATTGGACTGGTTGATTGTTAGTGCCCTGCTCTCTGAAAGCCACTGAGAAGCTCAACACACAAGCTCTATACCCAGGAAAGGGACACCCCTTCTGGGAGGGTGCCCCAGGCAGAGCAGGGGACAAGGTCCTTGGAAGACTGTGACCTTGGATAAGTCACTTCAAGTCTCCTTTTGTTCACACCCAGTTCTACAGCTGCAGGGAGAGTCCAGGCATCAGAACCAGCTGCAATCCAGGGCCCCGTGCTGAGGTCTGGTTCTGGTTTTGATTTTTGTGTTGGGGGTGGGACTGGAGAATAGTAGACAGGAGGTGATGTAGTTTTGCTAAACGAAAGGTCAACAGTTCAAACTCACCAACTGCTTCTTGGAAGAAAGATGAGGCTTTCTGCTCCCATAAAGATTTGCAACTTCAGAAATCTTACACAAGATTGCTATGAGTTGGAAATGATGGAAATGGGTTTGGTTTTATGTATTCATTTACCTTTTATTGCGTATTGATTGAAGGTTCACAGACAATATCATAAGATTTACATTCAACAAATTACATACCTTGTTTCATCTCAAAGATTACCACCCTTACCCTGCAACAAGTTACCCGACTTCCTCCTTTTTTAATTCCCCATTTACATCTTATATTTCCCAAATGAAGAAAGCAAAATTATTTTATGTACATGTTAAGTGCTGTGGAGTCAGTTCCAACTCACTAATGACCCTGTAGATAGGGTTTCTGAGGAGTGGCTGGAGGGTGTAAACACCCAAGTTAGGGTTCAAACCGACCTTGAGTTGCTGATGCTTTATCCCACAGCACCACACCAGGACTCCTATGTACACATACAACACAAAGAATATATTCATTTAAATGTCCAAAGGGCACGTTCTGCAAGCCAGCCTCCTGCCCACAGGCATACCGTCTTACTCAGTTCATGGGTCTAGAGCCTGCAGTTGCCCTGTCTCTCCATGCCATCACCTCTGCCACCATCTCTGCTGTTGCCTCTTTTCTAGGTAGGGGTCTCATGTTCCACTCATGCTCTACCTGGGATCCTCTATTCTTGAAAGATTAATGACTCCCCCCCTTTTAGTTATGCATTATTTACACGTATATGAGGCAGTTGAATAATGACATGACTTGGATCAGGCACACCTTAATCCTTAAATTGACCTCTTTGCTCTTTAACAGATCTAATACAACACATTATTTGATTTCTTAACTTTTCCTCCAGCACAAGTTGCCCCAGGATGGGGCAGACACAAAGCTGACACAAGGGTAAGAAGTGAGAAGAAAGGAGTTTGAGTCTGGCTTTGAACACAAAGCACGCTGCTGTTTTCAGCTAGAGCCTTACTTTCTGTGTTTGCATAATCCCTCACTGAGCTCCCTGGGTTGGTTGGTTTTGACTGTAACGTTTAAGGAGGCAAACCATCAGTCCATTCTTCTCCAGTGCTTCTGAGTGGGTTTGAACTGACAACTTCTCAGTGTTATTGTTGGGTGCCATCAAGCTGATTCCATCAACTCTGACTGAAAGTGACATCATGTGGCAGCATAGAACTGTTCCCTAGGGTTTTCTAGGCTGTGGTCTTGGAGTCCTGGTGTGGCCCTGTGGGTTAATGTGCCACACTGCAAAGCTGTTTCAACGGCAAGGTTGGCGGTTTAAGCTCATCAGCTGCTCTTCAGAAACCCTACACCTGGTCGCTATGGGTCAGGATTGACTCGACGGCACTTAACAACAAATCTTGGAATAAGGAAGACCGTAGAAGAATTGATACTTTTGAATTATGGTGTTGGAGGAGAATATTTAAAAGTACCATGTTGTTGTTATGTGCCATGGAGCCAGTTCTGACTCATAGCGACCCTGTACAGGGTTTCCGAGGCTGTAAATCTTTACGGGAGCAGAAAGCCTCATCTTTCTCCCGCGGAACAGCTGGTAGTTTCGAACTGGTGACCCTGAAGTTTGCAGCCCGATTTGTAACCACTTCACTACCAGAGCTCCAAAAGTACCATGGACTGCCAAAAAACAAACCAATGTGTGTTGGAAAACCTGCAGCCAAAGTGCTACTTGGAAACCTTGATGGCCAGACTTTGTCTCTCATACTTTGGACATATTGTCAGGAGGGACCAGTCGCTGGAGAAGGAGATCATGTTGGGTAAGGTGAAGAATCAGGGAAAAAGAGGAAGAACCCCAGCGAGATGGATTGGTTTGCACAGTGGCAGCATCAATGGGCTCAAGCGTGGCAACAATTGTGTGGTTGGCCCAGGATCAGGGCAGTGTTTTCTTCTGCTGTGTGTAAGGTCTATGGTCGCTATGCCGTACTGACTCCATGGCATCTACCAACAATCAACCATAAAAGGAGTCCTGCTGTGACCTTGTAGGAAAAGGGCTTCAAATCCACCAGCTGCTCCTATGAGGGTAACTATGAGTCAGAACCGAATCCACAGCACTTGGTAAAAACATTCATCAGAAAGACTCCCAGAAGGCTAACTACTTGACTACTTATGGCTCATAGCTTAAGGCAAACTGAACCACCCAGGAATCTTATCTGTTCCATGAGGTTGCTGAAATAGGGCAAAGGTTCACAAACTTCCAGACCAGAGCGCTGAGTCACCGCCAAAGAGTCTAATCCAATGCGCTGTTGTTAAATACTGCATGGGGTTTCTGAGGAGTGACTGGTGAGTTTGAACTGCAGACCTTGCGGTCCAGGGCACGATCCTATAGTGCCACACCTGGTTCCTATAAACCAGGGAACTATCCCAAAGGGATAGTTGTTACTACAGTGGGCGGAGCAGGGATGCAGGCAGTTGCTTTGATATGCCTTCTCACCCCCCCCCCCCCAAGGCTCCTCAGAGCTAGAGGGCCTGGTCCCATGCTAGGATTCATCTCTTAAGCACTGGACTGCAAGGTTGGTTTGAACTGCAATGTCAGCGGTTCAAAATCATCAGCCCTCTCCTCCTTAATTCTACACATGGGTTGCTATGAGCAGGAATTGACTCCACAGCACTAACATTGTAAAATGAGCCAATTTGACTCTCTAAATTTTGAGCTAATTCTTTCATCTCCCTGCTCTGAAAGTTTTAATTTTCACACTGTTATTGTTGGGAGCTATTGGGTCAGTTTTGACTTGATACCCATCAAGGAGCTCTGGTAGTTCAAGGACAGCAGTTCGAAATGAGCAGCTGCTTCGCGGGAGAAACATGAGGCGTTCTGCTCCTCGGAAACCCTGTATAGGGTCACAATGAATTGGAACCAACTCCACGGCACATAACTACAAAACTCCATCAATTCTGTTCTGACCCATAGCTACCCTACCTAGGGCTTCCAAGGAGCAGCTGGTGAGCTTGAACCACTGACTTTGTGCTTCAAACCCACTTTGCAGTCCAGCGGATTAACCCACAGTGCCATGTGCCAGGACCACTTGCTTCCCTATATGACAGAGTAAAACTACGACAGAGAGCTTTCTTTGCAGTAATTTCTAGGGGTGCAGACCGCTAGACCTTTCTCCCACAGTGCTACTGGATGGATTGTTATGTGCAATCAAGTTGATTCCAACTCATAGCGACCCTTTATAGGGTTTCCAGGGAGTCCTGGTGTGGTGCTGTGGGTTAATGAGCCAGACTGCAAAGCCGTTTGAACTTGGAAACCATACACAGGGTCGCTATGGGGGTTGGAATCCACTCCACGTCACTCAACAACAAAGAAGCAGCTCGTGAGCTTGAACATCTGACCTTGCAGTTCAACCGCCAAACTTCCTTTGAACAGCTCAGGGGTTAATCAGAGCTGCAAAAGGAAAGTTTTAAAATCACCATCAGAGATTAAAAAAAAAAGTTTATTAAAAAAAAAAAAAGTCCATCCTCGGCCCTCCAAACCGGCCCCTTCGCCATCTTGGCGCCCGCCCCTCCCGTGCTCTCGCCGGCGCCACCGCCTCCTTCCCACTCAGAAGTTTCGCGCCAAATTAATTGCCCAGAACACAAAATGGAGCCCGGAAGAAAGCGGAGCAATGTCATGCATCTCACAGCCAATCCTCTTCGGTGGGAGGCGGGGCTTCGTGGGCAGGGGCTGGATCACGGGTGTTAGAGTGGCCCAATCACTGTCCACTGGGCCCCGACGAACCAATAGGGGCGCAGCAGCTGCGGCATCCGAAGAAGCAGACTCGTTTTTCCCGCGAAACTCGGCGTCGGACCTTGGAGGTTCTTGTCTCCCGCGGTTTGTGGACTTCAGGAAGGGACAGGTGGGGTCGGGGGCGCTGACGCCCCGGGGGTCTGCTGCGTCTCCGTGGGGGTGGGACCGTGGGGAGGCCCCGGGGTCCCCCGCTGCTGGTTTCGCTCTGTAGCTGTGGTTTCCCCTGCCAGGCGCAGTCATGTCGGGCTTTGACGACCCCGGCATCTTCTACAGCGACAGCTTCGGGGGGGAGCCCGGCGCCGACGACGGCCAGGACCGCAAGTCCCAGCTGCAGCGGCGCTTCAAGGAGTTTCTGCGGCAGTATCGCGTGGGCACCGACCGTACCGGCTTCACTTTCAAATACAGGTGTCAGAGCGGGCCGCCCGCCGGCGCGCCGCAGGGCTTGGGGTGGGGCCGCTCCTTTTGGCGCTTTCACAGCGGAAGTCAGTTTAGGGGTGCCTCCAGCAGCGCAGCTAGGACAGGCGGTGCTTCTTAGTGTTCTCCCGGGTAATCTCGGCAGCCCCCTGGAAACTCAATTGTAATTGGGGAAGAAGCTAGTTAGGGTCCCTCGTTCATTCATTCAGCCTTGTCGGGTCTATTGCACCGGTGCCCGCTAATGCTGAGTACTGGTCACTGGTTCCAGCACCCAACATACTGGACAAGGTCCATCTTAACGTCCCAGCGATGTCCTGTTGATGCCTGTAGCCCAGAGACCCTAAAATGCACAGGATGTGAGGTTAATATTAAGTCAAGCCCAGAATTGGACCCCGCCTGGTGTGTGCTGTATGATAAGCACTGGACTGCTAACTGCAGGGTCGATTGTTTAAACACACCAGTCACTCCTCAGAAACCCTTTACTGGGTCACTGTGAGTTGGAAAGGACTCAACCACACATAGCAACAGCAGTTATTAACTGAGTGACTTGTAAGTGTTACTGCTTCTGTTTGTTTACATGCCAGCTAGCTTTGACCACCTGTCAGGCACAGTGCTAAGTACGGAGGTACAGATGAGAAGATGGTTTTTGTCCTCAAGGAGCCCCCCTGAGTCAGTAGAGGGAGGTGGAGAGAGCAAGTGCATGATGGGGGAAGGAAAGCAGAGGCCTTGGGGAAGCCTTCCAGAGGGGCAGAGGTCTGAGCTGCCCTTGAGCTGAGGAAAGAGTTTCAGGAGAGGGCACCATCCGAGGTGGGAGAAATTATATGAACACAGAAGGACAGGAACTCTCAGGATGTCATACAACTCACGGACAAAATGTATAAGAGGGTGGCTCCTGAGACGAGGTCAGGGAGCAACATAGGACAGGTTCTATGCGTTCTTGGAAGAGAAGTTCAGAGTTTCATGAGATGCTCTGTAGAGTGCTGGTGGTTGGCCAAAGTCCCTGCTGCCATGGAGCTGTCCAGGGTGGGGTTGGCACCTGAGAGTGGAGTCCTACGTGAGCATCTCCCAAGCTGACCCTTCAGCATCCTTGGAGTACCGCGGGCCCTTTGGAAGCTGCCTCTCTGGGTCCTGGAGGAGGGTGTGTGTTGGGGTGGCTGCTGTGTGGCAGATTGCTGATGCACAGGTGCCCCTTAGTTAATGTTGGTCTCTCCTTCTCTGCCTCCGCCTGCCGCAGGGATGAACTCAAGCGGCATTACAACCTGGGCGAGTACTGGATCGAGGTGGAGATGGAGGATCTGGCCAGCTTTGACGAGGACCTGGCTGACCACTTATATAAGCAGCCGGCTGAGCACTTGCAGCTGGTAAGTGGGGACCCCCCACTCCAGACCCCTCAAGGCTGGCCCTGTCTTAGTCACTGACAGCTTGTCCCTGACTTTTTCTCTAGTTAGAGGAAGCTGCCAAGGAGGTGGCCGATGAGGTGACCCGGCCCCGACCTGCCGGAGAGGAGGTACTTCAGGACATCCAGGTCATGCTCAAGTCCGATGCCTGCCCATCCAACCTTCGCAGCCTGAAGGTGGGTCCGCCTGGGGAAGGGGAGGACTCCTGAGGCAGGCCTGAGCAAGCCGTTTGACCTTTCTGAGCTGGTTTCCTCCACCGTAAAACTCAGAGAGGGACAAATCTTGACTGTGTTCCTTGTGCAGGCAAAGCATTGCTCCAGATCCTGGAGACACAGTGAGGAGCGCCCAGCCTCATGGAATGCGCTCCAGTGGGGGGAGATGGGATACACCAGTCAGCATCACTAGTGATAGGAGGTTCTTATTGTTATCTGCTGTCAAATCGATTCTGATTCTATATAGGGTTTCTGAGGAGCCACTGGTGGGTTTGAACTGCCAACCTTGGACCAGGACTCCCATAGAACATTACATGGACGTAAATGCAAGGAAAGGAGCTGATGGAATGACAGGAGAAAGCAGGGCGCTTAGGAAAATATAGAGAAAGCTTTACTGAGGAGGTGACCTCGGGCACAATGTGAGAGGTCCCATTAAGTAGGGACTGCCTGAGGCTTCTGCGAACCCCCCTGTGTTCAGTGCAGACTGGTATAGGTCTCCCCGCTACCAAAGGTAGAGTACTTTCTCCGAAACCGTTTGTGAGCCAAAATGATGTAAATCTTAGAAGCAATTAACACTCGCTTTTATGGGAAAGTTTTTTGAATGTTCCCAGACTAGAAAAAAACCTCCTCAGTTGTATCAAATGCCACAGAAACCTAAGATCCCACTAACACACATAGTGTCCACAGAACAGCTAAGAGCCTGGTGGCTTGATTCTGAGTGTCCTTCCCAGGGAGAGTTTGGGGACGGCCCTCTTGTCGCTTCTCAGGCTGTTCACAGCCACTTGAGTGTTCTGGCTCACTGCAGAATGAACGCTGAATGCTAGGTTTGCGCTTTGCCTTTTTTTCATTAAAGTGAAAATCTTCCTTGGATGTAAATGTAGGTCTTTCATAGGAGCGGAGAGGCGTTGAAAAGTGGGGGATACTTTGCTCAGCAAACAGGTTTTCATCTGAACTAAAGAGCTGTGCCCTGCCTGTTACTCTGTGCCCCCTCCCCTGGCTGCTCCCCAAGGTGTTTCAGAGGTCCTATGGTCATCCCCTCCCCCCTTTTAAATTGAGTTTCTAAAATTGTGGCAAGTACGTAGGTAACAAACTGCTGGCTGTCTTGGCTCTCTTTGCCGATGTAGTCCGGTGGCGTGTGAAATGTGTTCACCATGCTGTTCCCCCATCTCCGTCCCTGGCTCCCTGTAGCTGACAAGCTCCCTGTGGCTCTGTTGCAGTCGGACATGATGTCACACCTGGTGAAGATCCCCGGTATCATCATTGCGGCCACTGCCATTAGGGCCAAGGCCACTCGCATCGCGATCCAGTGCCGGAGCTGCCGCAACACTGTCACCAACATCGCTTTACGGCCCGGCCTGGAGGGCTACTCCCTGCCCAGGAAGTGCAATATGTGAGTGGATGTCGGGGATGTCTGGGAAGGGCTGGGCAGGGGTGCGTCCTGAGGGATTGGCAGAGATCTGAGCTCTGAGTTCTACCCCGCCTCCCCACCACAGACAGCCTGTGTGGATCACCCAGGGTTGGGAGGGAAAAGCATGCCGTCTTTCCATATGTTCAGGCTCCAGTCCCGGGCCTCAAAATGTTTCCCATCTTGCATCTAAACCATGCTTTGGTCCTGTTGTCAGATGTCTGGGGAGAGACTCAGACCATCTTGGGCACGTCTGCCTGTCTGTCCTGTTCCATGCTGTTCCTGCTCCCTGGCCTCCTGGGGGCCCATGGAGCAGCTCAGGCACACACCATCTTGGTGCCTCGACTCTTTGCACATCTCTCTTCAGCTTACTCCTCCCTGGCCTGCTGTGTTTTCTGGGCGCACACGTACCTGGCTCCCCTCCCCTTCTAGCCCCTGTCTGCGGTACACTACCTATCATGAGGTGGTTGTTGGCAGTTTGGGCTTTCTGTTTCCCCTGACTAGAACTCAGGCTCCGTGACACCAGGACTCATGTGGGCTCCTGCGTCTCCTGCACCTCAGATAATCCCGGGCACCTACTAGGTGTTTTGCCCCAGTATTTGTGATGCCCCCAAACCTAAAGCACCCACTGGCATCGAGCTGATTCTAGCTCAGAGTTACTCTCTAGGACAGGGCAGAAGTGCCCTTTATGTTGTGAATCTTTATGAAAGCAAACCGCCATGTCCTCCTCCCTGAACAGCTGGTGGGCATCACCTGCCAGCATCTTGGTTACCCCCACACTTAACCCACTGCACCACCAGGGCTCTTGTATTTGTTGAATAATGACTACAGTTCTGTAGAGGGGCCTAAGAAAGTCTACAGGTGTTTCCAGTCTCCCTGGAGAAGATGTTGGGATTTGAGTGGGGTTTGTAAGAAAGGTCCTTGGTAATTTAGCCTAGGGTGGCACAGTGGTTTAGCACTTGGCAGGGCATTGAAAGGTCAGTTGTTTGAGCCCACCAGCTGCTCTGCGCAAGGAAGATATGGTAGTTGGCGTCCACAAAGCGGGCAGCCAGCCAGTTCTGTGGGGTTGCTCAGCTTGCGAGCACTGGTCTGGTTGGGTTTCCTATGTGGACTGATAGCGTGAAGGATCAGACCTCCAGTAGGCCTCCTAACTCCTGACCAGGCAGCGGCCCACCTCATGGCAGCCTTCTGTCTCAGACCTTCCCCAGCCCACTGGGGACCCCTTCTGTTGTTGCCGACTTGTGACTGGGATCTGACCACCCCCCCTGCAGGGAGCAGGCTGGGCGCCCCAAGTGCCCGCTGGACCCCTACTTCATCATGCCCGACAAGTGCAAATGCGTGGACTTCCAAACCTTGAAGCTGCAGGAGCTGCCTGACGCGGTGCCCCATGGCGAGATGCCCAGACACATGCAGCTCTACTGTGACAGGTGGGCGTCGGGCTCCTGTGGTTCCTCTCATGTTTCCTCTGGGCTTTCGGCTTCCCCTCAACCCCCCTGTTACACATGAGGAATGTCACCGAGAGGTTAGCTCATGGAGCCAGGAAAAGGGCTAGGAGGCTGGGAGGGAATGAGGAGAGAGGTTTCTTCAGAACTGGCTACCAGAAGGCATGTGACAGCAGACAGCAGAGAGGTGGGGCTTTTGGAAGGCTGGCTGGTCACACTAGGACACCTCAGCTGAACGTACCTCGAGGGGCAGCCACCCCATCACCGGGAGTTAGCACTGTGAGCGACCAGCCATCTGGGGCTGGGTATTTGTGATGGACGGGGACCTTTCCCTGGGTCCCACAATGGAATGGGAGTTAGCGCTCAAGTGGCTGTGAGCATGGGAGCAGGCTGTCACTTTCGCTCCTCCCTCCCCTATCGGCCTTCTCTCAGGTACCTGTGTGACAAGGTGGTCCCCGGGAACCGAGTCACCATCATGGGCATCTACTCTATCAAGAAATTCGGCCTCACCTCCCGCCGAGGTGTTGACAGGGTGGGTGTGGGCATCCGGAGCTCCTACATCCGGGTCCTGGGCATCCAGGTGGACACCGACGGCTCTGGTGAGTCAGCCCTACCGACGTTGGGTATCCGTACATCTGTTCATGGTAGCTGCTAGCCTCCTGCTTGCCGTGTCTCCAGATCCCTGACTGACCAGAGAGGGACAGGCAGGCCGCAGCCAGGGGGAGAAATGAGACGCTGACAGTGAACTTGCTGGGGGACAGGGGCAGGGTGAGGGTTGTCAGACGTGATGCCGGCCAGGTGCTGAAGTGGGATGCTGAGAGCAGCAGGAACCTGACGGGAAGGCTGTGGAGGAAAAGGGCTGTGGGGGCTGCTGGAAGGGTAGGCAGCAGGGTGCTGAGTGGGTGTCGGGATGGGTGGTCTGGGGCCAAGGTGAGGACTCATGTTCTCACCTGGGGGCTGGAGAAGCACTGCCCAGTTTTCCAGCTTTGTGTCTACACTGGTTGCTGTGAGCTGATTGGAGGGAAGAGTCCCCAGACTCAGTTCATGGACCTGTGCCCACTCCCTGGTGAGCTCTGCTCACAGTTCTAAGCCCCCCTCTCCCAGTGCTGGCAAGCACAAGTATCTGTCTCTAGCCTGAGCTGCTCCCCACGTCCACACGTCTGTCTGGTGCTGCCTGTCCATGCTCGTCCCTCTTGAGGAGCTGGCTCCTTTGTCTCCCACCTCCCACGTCAGCTACTGCCCATTTCCCCTTCCAGCTCCCTCTCATTTCTTGTCCCTACCTCCAGAGATGTCCTGGGCAGGACCAATGCTCAGCCCAGCCTGGGCCCTGGCATCTTACGGGTCCCAGCCTCTGCCCCTTTGCCACACCGGCCAGAGTGGCTGATACTGTTAAAGCAAACACACCATGCTGCTCCATGGCTGAAACCCTCTGTTTCTCCCTGTTAGATGAAAGGTGCTCTGGTGTCCATCTTGATCCCGCTTGCTCACTGGGCAGGCTGGGGACTGGTGTCTGCACTCAGGCTGAGGTTGTGCCATCCTGGCTCAGGGCTCTTCCCGCTGGGAGGCCTGTGCGTGGGCCCAGTGGGCTGGTGGGCTCAGGGAGGGTTCCCTTCATAGCCCTCTCATGCCTGCCTTCCTCACCCACCCAGGCCGGAGCTTTGCAGGGACCATCACGCCACAGGAGGAGGAGGAGTTCCGCCGCCTGGCCTCCTTGCCCAATGTCTACGAGGTCATCTCCAAGAGCATTGCCCCTTCCATCTTTGGGGGCATGGACATGAAGAAGGCCATTGCCTGTCTACTCTTTGGGGGCTCCCGGAAAAGGTAGGGAGCCAGGCTACAGACCACTGGAGCCTGTGGAGGGGGCTGGTCACTTGGCCTGCAGGACAGATCTCAGACGATGGGGACTTGAACGGTGTCTTCGTGTTTCCTGGGACCCTCAGCCCTGATTCCTACCAGCCCAGTCTGGCTGTTAGCTAGCTGGGGGCAGGTGGAGAGCAGCTTGGGGGCAGAAGCATCTGGTCTGTGCTCCTTGTATAGTGTGTGACCCTGAGCCCACGTGTCCCTGTGAGTTACACAGGTGGACATCCTGGCTGTCAAGCCATCCCGAGTGCTTTAGTAACTGTTGGTGGTGTTAGGTGCCAGCTAGTGGCTCTGACTCCGCCCCCCTGCCCACAGCAGAACAGAACACTGCCCGGTCCTGTGCCATCCTCACAGTCTCTGCTGCTGCCACTGTGTCAGTCCATCTTGTCTTGGGGGTCTTATTTGCTGACCTTCATTTTACCAAGCTTGATGTCCTTTTCTAGGGACTGGTCCCTCCTGACCTTTGCACAGTATGGGTGATGAAGTCTTGCCGTTGCCCCTTGTAAGGACGAATCCAAGCATACTTCCAAACCAGATTGCTTTTCTGGCAGTCCATGGTACTTTCAATGTTCATCTCCAGCATCGTAATTCAAATGCATTGATTTTTCTGTAGTCTTCCTTATTCACTTTCACATGCTTAGGAGGTGATTGAAGATACCATGGCTTGGGTCAGAAACTAAGACAATAGAAATGATAGAAAATCATAACCGTGATATGATTATTAGTAGCTAATGTTTACTGGGGGGGCCCTGGGAGTAGTGTCAGATTACCCAATAAGCAAGGTGAGCCTGGGCTTCCTAGTGCCTTCTTACTAATCTGTAGTGAATCCTAAGTGAGCACAAGTAAGCCTGTTTTTTTCCTTGATTATTGGAAGTCGCCTAGGGCTGGGTATTGTCTATGGTTGACACACTTAGCTGCTCACTGAAAAATTGGAGGTTCTGGAGCCAGAACCCAGAGGTACCTTGGAAGAAAAGGTACCTGACAGGTCTGCTAAAAAATCAGCATTGAAAACCCTGTGATGCCGAGTCCTCTTGTGACACAGGGGTCGTCTGTGTGTGTTAGTAACATTTACTGAGTTCTCATGTTCAGGCTTTGTTCTAAGGCCTCTCTGTGTCTAAAACCCATCACTTTCCACCACCACTGTGTGAGAAAGACACTTTTTTTTTTAGTGTTTTATTGTGAATTACGTGATAGTTTACATGGGAGAACATTATTAGGTTTACAGTCATCCTATTGTATATTATTTCATTGCCATGGTTAGAATCCCCTCCATGCATCATCAACCAACCAAAGGGTATATATACCCTGCAAGCGTGTTCCCCTTCTCTTCCCCCCGGCCCCAGTCGTCAGCACCCAGCCCTCTCCCTCTCCGGGTCTAGAGTCCCCAGCCACTCCATTTCTCAATGTCATCATCTCTGCCTCCATCTCTAGCGTCACTGTTACTCTGGTTAGGGTCCTGCACTCCGCCCTTCTCCCTTGATGGTCCCAGAGAAAGACACTCTTATACCTATTTTATAGATGAGGACATTGAGGCATGGAGAGCTAAGGCTGTGGGAAGTCAGCTGGAGCTGTCCTTGTGGTGCCTGCTCCACTGTGCTCCATGGCAGCCCCCTGGGGAGCCTTCACCCTTGTGTCCCAAGAGGGAGGTTGGCTGTGGGTGCCATTCCCTGGGGAGGCAGGCAGGTTTTATCCCACTTCACCTTTAGGTGAGGCTACCAGGCTTGGGGCTATAGAGCTGGGTGAGGAGTGGGTCTCAGAGCCCCGCTGTCCCCTTCCTGCTCATCAGCTCCAAGCCCCGTGATAGGCTGACCTTGGGTCCCCTTGCTGGGATGGACTCTCACCTCATCTTCTCACCCTGCATCCCCAGGCTCCCTGATGGGCTCACACGGCGAGGAGACATCAACCTGTTGATGCTGGGGGACCCTGGGACGGCCAAGTCGCAGCTCCTGAAGTTTGTGGAGAAGTGTTCTCCCATCGGGGTGAGTGGCCCAGGACAGCTCTTCTCCCTTTACTGTCTGCAGGGCAGGGCCGTGGAAGACCCTAGACAGGCAGGTTCACCCAGAATTCCTTCTGTGTTGCTCCTGGCTGCAGTCAGCAGGGCAGTGGGGAGATCAAGAAGGGATGGACTGGCATGTGCAGGTTCGGGGAGAGAGGAGTGTGTGTGTGTGTGTGTGTGTGTGTGTGTGTGTGTATATACTTGTGGACCTCAAACATATCACCGAACCCTCAGCTTGTTGTTGTTAGGTGCCATTGAGTTGTTACCGACCCAGAGCGACCTTATGCACAGCAAAACAAAACAACTGTCCGATCCGGGGCCAACCTCACTACTGTTGCCACGCTTGAGCGCTTGAGTCCATCGATGCTGCCACTTGGCCAGTCCATCTCGCTGGGGGTCTTCCTCTTTTTCTCTGACCCTCCACCTTACCAAGCATGATATCCTTCTCCAGTGATTGGTCCTTCCTGGCTATATGAAGTATGAAAGACAAAGTTTGGCTATCTTGGCCTCTAAGGAGCACTCTGGCTGTACTTCTTCAAACACAGATCTATTGGTTCTGTTGGCAGCCCATGGCACTTTTAGTATTCTCCTCCAACACCATAACTCAAAATCGTCAGTTCTTCTACAGTCTTCCTTAGTCACTGTCCAGCTTGTGCATGCATATGAGGTTAATGAAAACACCATGGCTTGGGTCAGGCGCACCTTAGTCCTCAAGCTGACATCTTTGCTCTTCAACACTTTATAAAGTTCCTGTGTAGCACCCAGCTTAGCCTCAGTTTATTCATCTGCTAAATACCACCAACTACTGTCACATAGGGTTGTTATGAGTTGTTACAGAATCGATGACACCTAACAACAACAACAGTAGCCTCATTAAAAAGAAAGGAGTGAAATGAATATGTATAATTTATTCTATTTAGCCCAATATTCCCAAAGTAGTATTTCCACATGTCCACATGTTTAGTATAAAACAAAACAACTTTCTTTGTACAATCTCTGATGGCCCGAAGTCTGAGACCTGTGTGTATCTCACACTTGGTGTGTCTCAGTGTGCCCACCCCGCTCCCTGCCCCCACATCAAGGTCTCTAGGGGTTGCTGTGTTGGACCTCGCTGTCTATACAGATGACGGCACTCACCGGGGTCAGGAGTGCCCGGCAGCTTTGAGTCGGACGTGAACACGTGTCTTATGCTGTGGGCCCTTCCCAGGGCTGTGGTGACAAGGCCAGACTGAAGCGCAGGGAGGATCGCTGACTGCAGCCGTCACTTTGGTTCTGTTACTTTGGGCCACCTGGAACTCTAGGCCATGACACCTTCCCTGCCCTGCCCCCCGGCTCAGGTGTACACGTCTGGGAAAGGTAGCAGCGCGGCTGGCCTGACAGCCTCAGTGATGAGGGACCCTTCTTCCCGGAACTTCATCATGGAGGGCGGAGCCATGGTCCTGGCTGACGGCGGGGTGGTCTGCATCGACGAGTTTGACAAGGTGAGTGTCCACCTGGGGAAAGTGGGCAGGCATGCCAGGCCCCCACGGTTGTCCACCAGACTGACCCCGGGTACTGCCAGGACTGTGAGTGTGCCCCGTCGCCCTGGCCTGGGTGGGTCTGATGGACGTCTTCTGTCTCCCATCAGATGCGTGAGGACGACCGAGTGGCCATCCATGAAGCTATGGAGCAGCAGACCATCTCCATCGCCAAGGTGAGTGCCCACACCCCTGCAAGCTGGCCAGGGTCAGGGATCCCTTTCTCACGGCCTCCTCTGCCCCCCAGGCCGGCATCACCACCACCCTCAACTCCCGCTGCTCCGTCCTGGCTGCCGCCAACTCGGTGTTTGGCCGCTGGGATGAGACGAAGGGGGAGGACAACATTGACTTCATGCCCACCATCCTGTCCCGCTTCGACATGATCTTCATCGTCAAGGACGAACACAATGAAGAAAGGGACATGGTGCGTCCAGGGCCAGGGCGGGCTGGGGGTGCGGATGTGCCATGAAGTGGGGCTCCGAGTGTGAGGGCTGCAGAGCGGCTTGGAGTCTGAACTGCTTGGATTGGGGTGAGAGGCAGCGTTGGGCTCTATGTCATTGACATGTCCCGTGTGCTGGCTCCAAGCCTAGCTGCATCAGGGTTCTCCTTCAGTATTGTTGGGGATCCTTTCTTTCAATCTCAGGGCTTGGCATCCTTGGGAGGAGGCTTTGTCACCTGTGGTACCTGAGGTGGCCCCTGGCAACTCCAGGGTTTTCTCTTTCCAGTTTGATAACCCCCCCCCCTCCCCCAAGGCAAGAGGGAAGAGGAGCTGCCTCTTTTCCAGTCATTGTAGCAAATGTCCCAAGGTGGACTCTGATTGGCCCAGATTAGGTCTGATGTCCCACCTTAAAACAGAGACTGTGGTTGACATTGGCTGAGTCTGGCCAGTTGCCCGCCTTGATGTGGGTGTGTGGGTGGAACTTCAGCTGGAGAGGGCAGGGGCAGGAGTCCTGGGTTTTCCCTCCTGTTGTGAGTGAGCAGGAGGCATGACCCTGAGGTCTGAATGCCATTCCTGGCTTCGTGATTCTGGGTCCTCCATTCTATCCCTGTCCTGCTATGACCCAAGTTGGGACCCTGGCTGGGGAAGGCTTATTGACTGAGCCAGTGTCCCTTCGGCCCCCAGATGCTGGCCAAACACGTCATCACGCTGCACGTGAGCGCGCTAACACAGACTCAGGCCGTGGAGGGCGAGATCGAGCTGGCCACACTCAAGAAGTTCATCGCCTACTGCCGAGCGTGAGTCCTGGCTGGAACCCTTGGGGCGGCCTTGTCCAGCTTCCCTCGCAGGACGTCTGAGATGACACCCTACCTTAGAGGGGTGGCTTTACTCCTCCTGAGCCTCAGTTTCCCGTCTTCAGCATGACTGGGAGAGCCCCTGCACTTCAACGTGCCAGGCAGGCAGTGCCGTGTGTCTTTGGGCAAACCAGGTGACCTCTGAGCTTGATTCCACCGTTCCATGTTGCCTGGACAAGATAGTAAATGCTTGGCACGGTCTTGCACCAAGTCACCTCTCAGTAACTGGCAGCACCATTTGTTGCTGCCCTGAGACCCTCAGTGACAGTGATCACAGTGTGAACTCTGGTTAGTGGACACTGACCCCGGGGTACAAACGAGAGCCTTAAATTAGGATGGTAGGCAATTCAGGAGAGGTGTGTGTGGTCCTTTGCAGAAAAAGGCTCAGTGATTTGAAAGGTGATTGTGATAAGTTTGTTGCGGGTAGGATTGCCTCAGTGGTTTCCGAGTGAAGGCACGTTTACAAAGGGCAGGTAGCAGTTGCCTGTAGCCTAGTGGGTTGTGTCGTGGGCTGTTAACTGCAAGGTCAGCAGTTTGGATCTACCAGTCATTTCACAGGAGAAAGATGAGCCTTTCTGCTCCTGTAAAGGTGTGTCGCCTTGGAAACCCTCTCCAAGGTCACTATGAGTTGGGACCAACAACAGTATACAAGAAGGGGTTGTGTGTAAGTCAGATGGTCCTCACCCGGGGACTGCCTGGATACACGCCTTTCAAGTCTGTTGTCATGATTCAGCAATGCTATTGGACAGAGTGGGACGGCCCCATAGGCTTCCCAATTCCTAACCTGATAGACGCAGACTGCCATGTCCTCACACGGAGCAGCTGATGGGTTTGAACTGCCGACGCTTCAGCTAGTAGTCAAGCACTTACTGTGCCACCAGAGCTCCTAAAGTGAACTCTAACACTTCCCCCAAACCTACAGAGTAGGTATAGTGAGGTTGTACCGTCAAGTCGGCACAGTGACCCTGAGCTGTAAAGACTAAGTCATTTGTCCATGGTCACATGTAGGAGGAGCCACAGACACGACACCTCTGCTGTCTTTCAGTGGCTCCAGGACCACTGAGGACTCTTCAGGTGTCCAGTGAGCAGGCCCCAGTTTAGCCTGAGCTAATGGTACACAGAGACCCCACAATTCCTGGGTTGTGCATCCTGAGAGGCTTGTCTACAAATCAGAGGGCTCTGGATTCTACCCTGAGTTCCTGAGTGGCCTTGGGGAGGTCCCTCCCTCCCTCTGGGCCTGTCTCCTCATTCTTAGGTGAACTAAGGCCTCCTCTTAAGTCCTGCCATCCACCCTCCTGGGAGAGTCTGCCCCAGGTACTACCCGTCACAAGTCCCTGCCCAGCAGAAGGGTCGGGCTGCTGTCCTCGGACACTGCATCAGTCCCGAGACTGCCTGTTAGTCACTGGCGGTGGGGCAGTGCATACCTCATGGCAAAACTCCAGACAGCGTCCAGTGGCAAGGAAGGGGCACCGTTCACCCTGCCGTGTACCTGACCTCCCCTACTTTTCTCTGCGACTCCGATCCCCATGACCCCAGCCACAGCCCAGCTTCTAGTCCGGTCTGTTCTAAATGCTGGTGCCTCCTGTGCGAGGATGCAGGTGTGGTGTGTGGGAAAACGCAGGACCAGGGTGCCCCAGAAATCGCTCCTGGCCTCACAACAGCCACTCCCTACTGTCCTGCAGGAGGTGTGGCCCCCGGCTGTCTGCAGAGGCTGCAGAAAAGCTGAAGAACCGTTACATCATCATGCGGAGTGGGGCCCGCCAGCATGAGAGGGACAGTGACCGACGTTCCAGCATCCCCATCACAGTGCGGTGAGCGGGCCAGGGCGGTGCAGGGGGACAGGCCAGGGGTCCCTAATACAGTGTGATGAGCGGGCCAGGGTGGTCCATGAGCCTGGTGCTGTGGTCTGTTGTTGACCACACCGAGGCCCAGGAAGGTCTGAGTGAAGAGAACAGTGGCCTCGTGATTCCATGGTTTGTTGAAAAGGCTGGGACCCTCTGGACCCTCTGTTTGACAGTAGGACTGGCTTTCCCCCTGGGGACTGTCAGGTACCCTGAGGGTGAAGGACGGCCCCTGGTCCACGTGGGATCCTAGGGAAGTGGTTTCTTTCAGGAGCCCCTCCTCTGTGTTTACAGAGTAGAGGGGATCAGAGCTGGGAGCCCCTGGTTTGCAACCCAGTCTCCTGCACTGAGCATAGTGATTTGACTGTGCAGACGGCAGCTTAAACCTATTGAGAGTTTGTTTTTCCCTTAAATAGAAAGGTTTGGGGTGAGACTTGGCAGGGCCCTTTAGCTCCAGCTCTCTCTCTGCATACAAGGAGAAGGGTTTCCTTTGTGAGGACACTCGGAATCCCCACTCGGTGCCTGACTGCACCTCATCACACAGACACACCTAGCTGCCCAAGAAGCTCCCGTTCACTGGGCAAGCCTGGACCATGACCAAGGAGGATGGAGACTGGTTAGGGGGACAGCTGGCTGTCTCCACCGCAGGTCCCCTCCCCTGGTCGGGTGGGGCAGAGTGGGGAGAGCTGCCCTAATCACCCCTTGCCCCTCGCAGGCAGCTGGAGGCTGTAGTGCGCATTGCTGAGGCCCTCAGCAAGATGAAGTTGCAGCCCTTCGCCACGGAGGCGGACGTGGACGAGGCCCTGAGGCTTTTCCACGTGTCCACGTTGGATGCTGCCTTGTCCGGATCCCTGTCAGGTGAGCGGGTTAGGGGCAGGCCTGAAGGGAGGAGGGGGTGTGGCTTCTCGGAACATCTCTGGGCCTCCTTCTCTCGAATCCTCTTCCCGCCATTTTCCTCCATGATGAAAAGAAGCACTTTTTTCCAGACTCTTGACACACGTGTTTGTTAATAATTCTAATTTTTCATCACTGGGTAAATGATTAAAACAGTCAGCCCTCCTGTGTAGGACTCATAACCTTTTTCAATGTCCACAGATCTTTTCACCAATTCTTTATAGCTTCCCCTGGGGCTCAGGTGGTGGGAAGGGATGTTCACAGAGGCCTCTTCAGGACGCCCAGACTTGACCCCTGGCCTGTGTTTTCCCACCACAGTCGTTCTGCCACCATAGTCTTTCAGCAGACATTTCCTGAGCCCCGATTAGGTGCCAGGCTGTCCGGGGATAAATGTTTCTGTTCCCCCAACAAATACCTACTGGGTGTTCAGTATGAGGGGGTTTCAGAAAGTTTGTGGTTCTGTTTTCCATGAACTTTTTGAAGCGTCCTCATATTTGCCCTAGCCACTCTTCCAGATGTTGGGAAGCTATCAGGTGCTGTCATGTTGATTGTGACTTACAGGAACCGTAAGGACAGGGTTGAAGCTCAGCAGCTGCTCTTTGGGAACCATAAACAGGGTCTCTGTGGGTTGGAACTAACTCAACCGCACTAAACGACAAACAAGGACAGGGTAGAACTGCCCCGTCGAGTGTTCTGGGTTGTCGTCTGTTCAGGACTGTAAATGTGAGTAAGTCACACAGTCCCTGCCTAGAGAGGCTTGTTCCAGTGGAGAGTGATGGCCGGCATGTGAGGGAAGGAAGGAGAGGCTGTTACAGGTGGGCGGACCAGGGACCACCTCTTAGGAAGGGACATTAGGGACAGTAAGTGTGAAGTGAAGTGACGTCACCCAGCAGAGGGAGCGGGCTTGGCAAGTTCAAGGACCAGCACAGGAACAGAGCAAGCCTGCCAAAGGAGAGAGGCCACTTCCTGTCACACGGGAGGAGGGGGGGGAGTACTTGATCAGGAAAGGAGGGCTCCCAGCGGGGCTGCAGGCACAGAAGGTGGAGTGGTTGGGGTGGTGGTACTTGACAGCCTTGTAGGATGTGTGGGAGTTGGCCTTTTAGATGCCTTGTTTCTATCCTGCCTGGCCCTGCCCTGGCCCTGCCCACAGCCGTACCCCCTCAGCTGGTACACAGGGTGTCTGTTGGGTGGTCAGCATGAGAGACACTGGCAGGAGCTCCTGTTTGTTGAGGGATGCTCGGGGCACTCATAGAGGTGGTCCACATGGCCACCTGCCCCCTTGGGTCACTAGATCTCTTCCCTAGGCTGTGACTTTCTGCTGCCTGCCCCACCAGGGGGCATCTGTGCTGTGACTAGCTTGTTTCTCATGATGTCAGCTCAGGCCCTCCCTCCTGAGTACTGTTAGCTCCTCATCTAACCAACCTTGTGACCTGTGGGCTTGTTCCCCACCTCCAGAACTGCCTTTCAGACTTGTGGTACTTCTAGCTCAGTGCCTGTGCCTTCTACAACCTCTGCCCAGAACATCTTTCCCTGGGTGTTTGCTTCTCCACCTTCACCACCTCAGACAGGCCTCCCATCCCTTGGCCCTCTGTCTGTCCCTCTTTCCCTGAGGTCCTTTTGTGGACCTGGTTCAGGCTGGTCTTCCTTGGGCTGGAGGGCTCCCCCTGGTGGGTAACTGAGGACCCGGCGCACCCATCTTACCGCTTTTCATTGGCCTTCCGCAGGGGTGGAGGGCTTCACCAGTCAGGAGGACCAGGAGATGTTGAGCCGCATCGAGAAGCAGCTGAAACGTCGCTTTGCCATTGGCTCCCAGGTGTCAGAGCACAGCATCATCCAGGACTTCACCAAGCAGGTGTGCCTCCCGGGGCCCGGGCACCTCCCAGCCACCCGGCTCCACGGTGGGCTCAGGGTTTGCTGGGGGCCTCAGCCCTTCTCACCTACCCCTCCCCTTGAGGAAGTGGCAGTGAGGGTGGAAGACAGCCAGGAGGCACGGGGGCGTTGGCCCCTGGGAGCAGGTGTTGCCTTCCAGATGCTGTGGGGAGCTTGTCCTGGGCTTTAAAGTTCCAGGCACCATCCTAGCTTCTGGCCTTGGCTCCCTTCCTCATACACAGATGTGCAGTCTGAGGCTTAGGTCTAGAGATGTCTAGAGCTGGGTCAAATGGACTTGACTGAAGTCCCAGCTCTGTGAACCTGAGGGAGTTAATGTGTCTGTGCCTCAGTTTCTTCCCTGTGAGGCGGATGTAGAGTTGTGGAGACGGTGTGGACAGGTAAAGGCAGAGAGGGACCTGGTATAGACTGTTGTTGTTGTTGTTGTTATGTGCCGTGGAGTCGGTTCCAAGTCAGTGACCCTGTACAGGGTTTCCAAGGCTGTAAATCTTTATGGGAGTAGAAAGCCTCATCTTTCTCCCGCAGAGCAGCTGGTAGTTTCGAACTGCTGACCTTGCGGTTCGCAGCCCAATTCGTAACCACTACGCTACCAGAGCTCTTTTGGTATAGACTAAGTGTGCAAAAAAGATCCATTCTGTATTTTTTTTTTTTCCTTTTTAAGAACTTTTTGTTGTTGAGAATATACGCAGCAAACCCTACACCAATTCACCGGTTTCTCCGTGTGCACTGTAGTGACACCGATGGTGGTCTTTGAATTCTGCGGTCGTTCTCACCCCCTTCCTGAGGTGCTCCTCCCTAACACTCACTCACTGGTGGCCCTCAGCTTCAGGTCCCGTTTGTCTAGAGGAAAGAGCCCGTCTCATGATCCAAGGAGACAGGGCGTGCCAGCCCTGGTCTGCATCGGAAAGGGTGCTAGGGCTCTGGAGGGCTGTGTGGGTGGTCGGGGTCCTGGTCCTCGCTGAGACGTACACCCCTCTGTGGCCCTGTGTCCTGCAGAAATACCCGGAGCACGCCGTCTACAAGGTCCTACAGCTCATGCTGCGGCGGGGTGAGATCCAGCACCGCATGCAGCGGAAGGTCCTCTACCGTCTCAAGTGAGCTGGACTCCCGCAGCCTCGCTTCCTCTGTCTCTACCGGCACCTCCAAGCTCCCACATGCGCTCTTCACCCCGGAGCAAGCAGCGGCCACATCTGCTGATGCAGCTTCCGGAAATGTGCTTTTGTGGAGTTTATTGGAATAATAAAGTATGTTTGGATATCTTTGGGCTGTACACTTGGTGGCCTGCCGCCCTCCAGTGTATCCTCTTGGTGAAGTGGGTGTGGGGGATGAACAGGCCTGGGTTCTTACCTGGGCCTGCACCCAGGCTCTTGGGTAAGTCACTGTTTGATGGACACAGTAAAGGTAGTTGCTCACTGTGTAAGTTGTCTGGTGGAGTGTGTAAGCCACCTCTCTCGATTGTTCCCTGGCAGTGGATGGATTGTTGTTAGGTACCATCGACTGGGTACCGATTCATAGTGACCCAATGCACACAGAACAAAACACTGCCCGGTTCTGGGACAACCTCACAATTGTTGCCATGCTTGAGCCCAGTGATGCTGCCACTTGACCAATCCATCTCACTGGGGGTCTTCTGACCCTCCACCTTACCAAACATGATATCCTCCAGTGACTGTTCCCTCCTGACAATATGTCTGAAGACTGAGAGAAAATTTGGCCATCTTGGTCTCCAAGGAGCTCTCTGGCTGCACTTCTTGCAACATAAATCTGTTTGTTCTTGTGGCAGCCCATGGTGCTTTCAATTTTCTCCCAACACCATAACTCAAATATGTCAATTCTGCGGTCTTCCTTACTCACTGTCTAGCTTTCACATGCATATGAGGTTATTGAAAATACCATGGCTTGGGTCAGGTGCACCTTAGTCCTCAAGCTGACATCTTTGTTCTTCAACACTTTAAAAAGGTCTTGTTCAGCACGCCTAATAATATGTTGTTTGATTTCTTGACTGCTGCTTCCATGAGTGTTGATAGTTGATCCAAAAAGAATGAAGTCTTTGACACCTTCAGCCTTTTCTCTTGATAAGAATTTTGTTTATTGGTCCAGTGTGAAGATTTCTGTTTTCTTTACATTAAGAGGCAATCCATAGCTAATGCTGTGCTCTTTGATCTTCATCTGTAAATATTTTAGGTATCTGCACTTTCAACATGCACGGTTATATCATCTGCATATTGTAGGTTGTTAATGAGTCTTCCTCCAATCCTGATGCCATGTTTTTCTTCATATAACCCAGCTTCTCGGATTATTTGCTCATCATATAGGTTGAATAAGTTGATGAAAGAATACAACCCTGTCGCACACCTTTCTTAATTTTAAACCATTCAGTGTTGGCATGTTCTGTTCGAACAATTGTTTCTTGGTCCAGGTACAGATTCCTCATGAGCACAATTAAGTGTTCTGGAATACTCATACTTAGCAATGTCCATAGCTTGTCATCCACACAATTGAAGGTCTTTGTGTAGTCAATAAAGTACAGGTGAACATCTTCCTGGTATTCTCTGCTTTCAGCCAAGATCCATTGGATATTAGCAATGACATCCCCTGTTTCATGTCCTCTTCTGAATCCGGCTTGAACCTCTGGAAGTTCTCTGTGTATACACTTACAGCTGTTTCTGTATTACCTTTAGTAAAACTTTCCTTGCATGGGATCTTAAAGAGATTATCCAATGATTTCCACATTCTGTTGGGTCACTCTGGAATGGGTACAAATACAGATCTCTTCCAGTCAGTCGGCCAGATAGTTGTCTTCCAAATTTCTTGGCAGAGATGAGTGAGTGCCTCCTGTGCTGCCTCACTTTCTTAAAAGATGTCAAATTTTCCCTTAGTTCCTGGTGCCTTATTTGCCAATTCCTTTAATACACCTTGGACTTCTTTATTCAGTATTATTGGCTCTTGATCACATGCTACCTCTTGAAATGGTTGAACATCAACCATTTCCTTTTGGTACAGTGACTCTATGCATTTCATATTCTTTTGATGCTTTCTGCATCATTCAATAATTTGCCCAAGGAATCCTTCAATAATGAAAGTTGAAGCTTGACTATTTCTTCAGCTCCCCCAGCTTGAGAAACCCTCTTGGTTTTCTGATTCTGGATAGCTGCACATTTTGTTGTAATATTTGGATTTATCTTCTTGAGCTGATCTTTGAAATTTTCTGCTCAGCTCTTGTAATCTCATTTCTTCCATTTGCTTTAGCATCCCTACGCTGGAGAGCAACTTTCAGTGTCTCTTCTGACATCCATTTTGATCTTTTCCTTCTTGTCTTTTTAATGACTTTTTGCTTTCTTCCTGTATGATGTTCTTCCTGTCTGTGGATGGATAGGAATCCTGTTTTTTGTCAGACCACCTTTCTGGGTCTCAATTTCTTAATCTATAAATGGAAGTGACACAGAACCCAAGCCCTCTCTCTGCCTGCCACAGATGTGAGACCAAGAAGACTAGTGGTAGGGCTGTTTTGGTTAAGAGAACAGGGTCGATTTTACTGCTGTTTGGAACAAGCAAGGAGACGGGGAGCTCTGCCACTGGAGAGGAGAAGAGTTGGGAGGGTTTTATAGGACTCCGGGAAGGCCTCGGGGAAATCTGGGAACCTGTCACAAGGTAAAATTATACAAATGACAGATCTGGAATGAGTGTCTTGTGTATAACTTCCAAGCTCAGTGGACTTAACTTCTTTATGTTCCAGAGGCTTGTGGTTCCAGTAGCTGGGCCCGGACATCCCACCTGTCTTCACACAAAGAGCCATTTTACAAATGCTTAACTATATTCTTAGCTTCTGTGCACGTTCCTGATTTGAGGTGGGCAGGGGAGAGAAAGACAAATCTGATGGCTAGACTACCTTAAAATAAAAGGCACTGGTGGGGCTCTTCTGCCCGTGGCTGAAGAGAGCAGAGCAAACATTTCTACTTCATTTCACAGGCTTGTGGTCAGGGTACATGAGCTGTTTCTCAAGTCCGTGGGTGATGCAAATAGCACACTTGGGAAAGGTGGAGACTCAAGTTCGCATAGAGGTGCTTAGGAAGAAAAGAAAAAACCAGCTGTTGGAAACCTTCAGGAGCACGTGGGTCACAGTGGCGGGCATCTGGTGATTTGTGAAGTGTGGGAGGGCTTGGCAGTGGTGAGAGTCCAGGGGAGATGTGCTAAGTATGTACGGGCAGTGCGGACCCTCAAAATTTCCCTCCTGGATCCGCTCATGGGACTCCACCTGCCCCCAGATTATCCTCCCTCGCAGAGTTCAGAGGCTGGACTGGTGGGAGGCAGTGACCATGCTGGAGAAAACCAACAGTACTTTGGTAGTTTCTTTGCCTGTGGTTCTAAGATAAGCCCTGGGCTGCAAACCACAAGGTCTGCAGTTCTAGCCCACCAGCTGCTCCGTGGGAGATAGACTTATGCTCCCGCAAAGATTTTCAGCTGCCGAAACCCTATACTGGATTGCTTTGAGTTGGAACTGACTCCAGGGTACTTGACAGTGTCAAAATACCAATATGAATGCAATTTTTGTTCAAAAATGAGAATTCGAAAAATAAAAGGAAAACAAACCAGTGAAGTAAAATATGTGGTTATTTAAAACTTTCTATGGTGAATTGTGGTTATGAAACGGACTGCTAACCCCAGGGGTCAGCAGTTCGAAATGACCAGCAGTGCTGGGGGAGGACGATGAGGTTTTCTGCTCGCATACAGATTTGCAGCCTCAAAGTCTATGCAGGATCTTTATGAGTCGGAACCGACTCCACAGCATACAACCACCACCACGATAGTGAATGGGGTGAAAATTTACCGAGCAGATCAGGTTTTCATTCAGTACTTCATGTTTTCTTTCATCCGTGGATCCACAACATAATACCATTTGTCTTATTTCATTCCTAACTTTACCCGGAACCTTTCCTAACTTGTCTGAACTTTATTTCTGTGCATATCTGCCCTTTTGATCTCAAATGGTTGATTGCTCTAAGGTGTTGGTACCTCCCTAGAGTTGTTTAGTGCCATGAAGTCGATTTGGATGCAGGGTTTCCAAGAAGAGACTGGTGGGTCCGAACTACTGACCTTGCGGCCCAGTGCTTGATCCTACAGCACCACACCAGGACACTCTACACCTGTCTGTTGATTGGCTGAAAATTGAGCCTTAGGGGTGAGTTCATTTCCACGCCTGAAGGTGAATCAGAGACAGGCTTGGGGATTGCACCCGTCTCTAGCCAACCAATAAGCTTGCTTTTTATTTTATGATTTTTGAGTTTTGTTCCACAGTTTTTCTCCATTTTGTCACAGTTTTCCTCCATTTTGTGATCCCTTTTAGAGCAGTTGGTAGCAGTAACCTGGCACCATCCAGTTCTGACCTTGGGGTCATGGAAACTGATGTTTGCAAGGTCCACTAGTCCATTGGACTCACTGTTTGCATATGTCTTTGATTTTCATCATCCTTCTTCCCTCCAACAGAAAGGGATCCGTAAGCACTCTACTGTTTTTGTGGACTATGCTGTCAGGTGACCCTGGTGTTCCCCAAGACCATGGTCTTGAGCCTCCAGGCCTAGCAGCTTAATCCCTTGGTGTTTAGTTATGTCTAAGAATTTTTCATAACTTGGTTGCCTGCATTCTCCACCATATTCATGGCTATATTAGCAGCATCGGTAAATACACGTATAGAAATATCCTCTTGTCAAGCCTAGATACATTTGTGGGTTTAATCCTACTCCTAGTGTGGTGCTGTAGGATCAGAACTGGACTTCGAACCACAAGGTCGGCAGTTCAAACCCACCAGCTGCTTGGAAACACTATACAGGGTCTCTGAGTCAAACCGACTTGATGGCATTTCACAGTAGTCCTGCTCTCCCTCCTCCCCCATCCATTTTTTGCAGGATTGCGTATATAACAGGAAGTTATTTCTGTTGTCTTACCCGTGGGTCTTCCGGCGGCCATCTTTTGCTGACCTCCTTCTTATTAACCCAATGTAATGTGTGTCCTTCCACCCCTGGAAACTGTCACAGAATATCTTTTTCTGTGTGAAAATCTTTTTTTTGTCATTTTATAATTATGGTCTCTTACAATATTTGTCCTTTTTGATTGGCTTATATC